CTGCTTCCATGTGTTTTCCCTCCGAGTGGACAACAGGTAAGTCAGCATGAGAACCTGAAAATCTTTGCCTGTTACCACTGAGCAGTGTGCTATGCACTGTCAGTTTTAGTACGTAACCTTGGTTAGAAGTAAATCAGTGAAAGGTGCACTATTCAAATTTTGTGGGGAATAAGTGTCTTTCTGTCAGTTGAGCTCAGCTATGCAGGTTGTGCTCTCCCCGCACTTTCAGAAAGGGAAGAGTTCAGAAAGAGACAAAAACAGTGTTCAAAACTGAAGATTACTGGTAGAAGGATAATATTCTATTTTCTTTTGTGTTAGCGGATTGTTGTTGATCTGCCTCATCCTTTTAACAGAGGCAGGGGCTGGATCAATAGAGCAGATTCAGCCTCAGCCTGCGGCTTTCATGCATGATGGAAGGACTGGTTGTTTTTTAGTAAAAAAGGTTTGCTGTGAGATCTGGTCAAGGCGGAGGCCTGCCTAGCAGCGTGTTGTAATCATTTGAGTTGAACTCTAGTCTGTGTCTGAAAAATGACTGTTTCCAAGATGTTCCTTGTAGGATCCCTTTAGTCCACGAGCAGAGAGGCATTGGATGCAGTCCACAGCATCGCTTTCTACAGCCCATGGCGATCAGATTTTTCATCATTCATGTCTGTGTTGTACAATGAGTATGTGAAATGGACCTGAAGGATATCTTCATCTCCCAGCAAGGAACAGTTAGTCTAATCCTATCATAGACATCGTAACAGTAGGTTTCAGCCTAACTTCCTGATTACTACGGAAAAGGCTGATCCAAAGTTCAGTGCTTTCCATGCTTGTATGGGAACTCCTATGTACCTGTATCTGTGCATTTAATGTATCTCTTGAACCTTGTTGATTCCTCCTTTTCTCCACCTTGGCTGAATAATGAAGGCTTGTTCAGCTATAGTGGTATGACTGCTTTCCTGAAAGCCTAATCCAGGAAAGAGCTTAAACCCATAGGGCTGAAAACGGCAATCTAAGACAGGAGTTAGGTGCCGAAGTTCCATCTGCAACACCTGAGAGGAGGGAGTGATCCCAGGAGAACCTAGATGCAGAGCAATTCACTGTGCAATAGCATGGCTGAATCATAGCTTGGGAAAGACCCCCTCAAAGTGAAACAATGAGTGCCTAACACTAACACACTTGCATGATTCAATGTAAAAAACATCATCTGCCATGAATAGCAACCAAGGTAGGGGGAGGAAACCAGGGATGTGGAATTTCTCTGGCTTGTCTGTGAGAATGTGGGAACCTGAAATGCCTACTGAAACAGGAATGCAGGTCTGTCACACTTTCTCCCTTTCCCTCCCAATGAATCCGGAAGAGAATGGTCTCCTCATTTGCCAGGTGGATGGGTATGCAATGCTGCTGGACCCCTTCCTGGCTTTCCAGGGCAAAAGGGAAAGATCTGTGATATCCCACTTGCTGCAGATGAGTTTACCTGAATCTGCTCTGCAAGACTGCAGAGCAAGTGAACCTTAGTGACGCAACACCAGACCTGATGCTCATCTGTGTGGAGCTAGACAGTGTCCTGTGAGCACTGGGAAAAGAAGAGCTAACACTTAGTTGGCATTATTTAACCTTCATCCCAGTTTACAAATTTCAAAAGGGCTGGTTTTTAGATTAACAGAAAGTTAATTTAAACTGATGCGTTTGTTACTGTTAATGTTAAAAATGGGGAATGTGCTCTCTTGGAAAACGCGTGGGAGCAGTTAAGCTCGCTTGACTCTGCAGTGTTGGCTCCGGACAGTAGAGTGCACTGCTTATACAGCAGAGAAGAAGACATCTCCCAAGCTGCTGCTGAAGGAGGGTCTTGAGATCCCAGTACCCTCCGATTCCTTTTTACAAAACTTAGTCCTTCAGTAGATACAGCTTTAAGACTACGTTTATTCAGCAATGCTCACGGGCATGACTGCAGCTTTCGGGAAGCGTGCCGGAGCCTAGCCAGCCTGTGAAGGTGCAGGCTGTACCAGCTGTGCAAACCCGCTGGAGACTGCATGCGTGCACGCTGGTAAACCTGCATCCGCATCAGGGCACTTGGCCCCTCTTCTCTGCTGCTGAACACCTGCGCGTGCTGCAGGCACACCGCCTTCGGTTACCGCGTAGGCACATCCTGAGAGGGATGGTCATGTGTCTGGTTTGTCCTTGATCTCTTGAAAATAACCCTTCTAATTTTTATTCTCTTTAAAAAATGTTTCCTGTGGGCACAAAAAAACAAAATACTGGGTGAGTTGTCCTTTTCACTCATGTTAGAGCATCCATCCTCTCCTATTTTGTAGAGTTAGCCCTTCTCGTACTTGGGCAGGTGAAAAGAAAGTGAGGAACTAACAGGTTTCCAAGAAGCTCAGGTCAATGCAATGTTATAGACAAAAATCTGCATTAATGGCAAAAAGAAGTATGCTGTTGTGTTGCACGTGGAAGAGGCCCTGAGTAGCAGATTGCTTCGCTCTTTGAAGCCAATGTCGGTATGCCAGCTGGTTGCTGTTGCACGTGAGTGAGGAGATGTTCAGCACTTACATTACTTTTTATGTATTTTTATTTGACTTTTCAGATTTGCACTTTACATTCACATGGGAGGATTGGCAGTCACTTTATGAAATATTACAAGAAGCAGCCATAATCAGGGCTGGGATAATTTTAGTAATGTCCAAGTCCATATTTCAACAGCTGGAAGAAACAAGAAGTGTTGTTTTGCAGCCTTGGATTATTTTCTGTTAAGTTTTCTTTTGCAGCCACTTCAGAGAGGCAACAGGTTACAACATTTGCTAATCCTGTTTGCAGACCCTGGCGCTTTGCAATGCTGCAGTGCTGTCTTGAGTCCCAGAGTCTGTTTTTTTCACTTGAAGCAAGATAGTTGTGGTGGTCACTGAAAGAGGTAGCTCTTGTGTCTAGTTGCACCGTTAGAAAGCAGCCAGCACAGCAGAGCCTTCAGGTGCTGTTGGAGACACACACACACACACACAGAGTGAAGTGAGGAGTGAGACTGGAGCACGCAGATGAATAGCTCTGGTTCTCCAAAAGCAGACGAAGCTATAGGGTAGACTCTTAACAATTTGGAGGATTTGGACCCTTCAAAAGAATTTGCAATATGGCAATGATTTGTGCTTTAGCGTTTGTTTTTTAAAATTTTGGATCTGTTTTCTTTCAGCTGAAAGGTGATGACTGCTGGGGGCAGTCCAGTTGAAAACCTGTTGAAATAGCATCTGGTTCCAAAACCACCTTGCTACAGCCCAACTCCAACATGCCCTACTCTGCTGCTGGCATCTTCTCCACAGCCATCCCACCTGTGTTTGGCTTGGCAGGTAGCTCTCCCTCCCTCTGGCTTGGCAGGTAGCTCTCCTTCTTCCTCTCGTACAGGCTCAAGCTTAGACTAGGAGACTGCAAACCCTGCTTGTTCCCTAGTTCTTGTCCCAGAACTTATTATTCTAAGGTCTTGAAGGACAGGCTTTGTGCCACAAAGCATGGTGACCTCTCTAGGTGAGTACACAGGGCCTGATGTTCTTACCAAATTCACTTCTTATGTGTCATCTCAGATCTGGATCAACAATCCAGACTGGTCCAGCGAGTGTGTAGCCCTGGAGATTGGCTGAACGGTGACCTGGAAAGGCTGAGAATGACACACAGTGTATTTGTTTAGTTTTTCAAGAATACATGCATGCTGCACGTTAAGTGTTACTGCCTTAAAGTACAAGCTAAATGTAATGTTATACAGTCCATGTTCAAGGCATTTCAGATGCCAAAACCAGAGGTCCTAAATCCCTTAAAAACATCAGGTCGGGAGTGCTTTAATGGCTGGTTTTCTCCTGAACACCTACCCTTCTTCTCCCTGCTTGAACTGTACTGTCCTCTGCAGGGGCTGCCGTGTGGCATGTTGGTAGGAGGGCAGGCTGCCACCAAACAATGCACATACACCTGAGAACAAGAAAAAGTACCATTTGGTCCATATCAAATCCCTCTTTCCAAGGCATTAATTTTGTCTTCTGTCCGCTTTCTGCAGAAGTTACAGCTGATTAGACTTAGGCTTGTCTGAACTCTTGCATACAGCACCTTCTAGCTGAACGTGTTTTGAATTTCAAATTTGGTGTCAAAGAAGCCCTTGAGCAGTTTGGTAACCAAAAAGGCTGAGACAGGAGAAGTTAAAACCTCATGAGCTGCAGTGAGGCTATGTATCAAAGCTAGACAGAAACTCAATCTAGTGCTAGATGCAGCTGCACACTTAGGAAGCAGCACAAGCCAGAATTGCATCATGTTCATTTCTAGCAAGTTCATGATTTGAACTGCTTATGAAAGGCCAAGTCAAAAAATTACGTGATTACTTAAGCTGCTGAGGCAGGGGTAGTGCCATGGCTCATATCAGTACATGTGCTGGAGTCCACGCAACTGGGTGCATTAGAAGCAAAGCACTCTCAGCTGACCGTCCTCGGTTCTCTTTGCTCTTTTTAGACTTGTTGGAGGCGCACAGAACCTCAAAAGTGTAAGGCCAAACCCACAAGCCTCTGCTTCCCTGCCCATTGGGCTGGCATCTGAGAAGATGGTTGACTGGCTGGGACAGATGGAAGACAACAGAGCTGAATTTTGTGTGAATGTTGTGGCATGTAAGTTGACTTTTCTGTTCTAGCCGTTTTGAGCTGAAGTGCTATGAATCTGACCCTATAAAAAGTCAGAAACACCATATAAAAGTCATATTTACATACCAAACTCTGTTGTTTACTCCAGCCAGTCCAATCTCAAAACTGTATTCCACAGCAGATTTGAGAAGAGAACTAAATTAAAGCTGCACACCAGTCAAGCTGCTTGTGTTGAATGCTGGGTAGGTTTTAAGCCTGTGAGGTGCTTAAACTGGCGTTTTTAAAGTGGTCTTAGGAAGTTCACAGAGTAGGGTCCATTAATGGGACGTGAGCCTCTGACTTTTATCTTACCTGTTGCGGTCGATGTGTCAGGGTCCTTACTGCCAGCCTTTTAAAATGAGCAGGGTGTCTCACCCTGGGGCCAGCAGCTACAGGACAGAACTCTGCAACATACTCACTGCCGTTAACCTCGCACCTATTTGAGAGAACATGTCAACACATCTGGAAGAAATCAGGGCTTCTCCCATGAATAGGAGAAGGACATGAATAGTGATAGGACAAGGGGCAATGGCTTTAAATTGAAAGAGGGCAGATTTAGATTGGATATAAGGAAGAAATTTTTCACTCAGAGGGTGGTGAGGTACTGGAACAGGTTGCCCAGAGAAGTTGTAGATGCCTCATCCCTGGAAGTGTTCAAGGCAAGGCTGGATGAGGCTTTGGGCAACCTGGTGTAGTGGAGGGTGTCCTTGCCCATGGCAGGGGGGTTGGAACTAGATGATCTTTGAGGTCCCTTCCAACCCTAACCATTCTATGATTCTATGAATGCATCGGTCATTCAACAACTACTTGCCCATCCACAGTGATGTTCCATCTTGGGGTGCTGTTGAAGTCTAGAGACCTGGTTACCCAGCAGTTTTCCAGGTATAACTCAGTGTTGGGGCTCTTGTCTTTCAGCTCCACCTCGAGAAACACAGGCTCTGCGGGTCGCCTGAGTATTGCCATGTTAGGCTCGTAGAATTCCACGAAAGATTCATCTCGAGAAAACGTCGGGATTTTTTTTTTGTTGTTTAATTTTATTTAAATTAAAATATGTTTGAAAATTTCGTGATTTTCTTAGGAGGAGACTTACCTTTGGACACTCTTGAAACTACATTCAGGGCTTGTCTTATCCTTCTGTGTACTGCAGAAAAGGAAAAGTTATTGAGGTTCTTCAGTAGGAGGAAGCAGGGCATGTCTTAACAAAGGAACTTGAAAGATTCACAGAAATTTAAAAATGAAGGAAGAGAATTGCCTACCCGCAATATTTGATCTTGGTACCATTGTACCGGAGCCAAAGGCAGGTGATGTGGATGGATCCCTAGCGACGGCACCTAGCACTAGGGTCTCTTTTGCTCGATAGTAGCACAAGACTGTTAGTCTATAATAGGAGAAAAGGTAATTTTTGTGTTCACTTTTGTTTTCCAGCAGCTGTACCAAAGTGAGCAGTGTCAGTAGCTCCTACCTGTAGTCTGGATCTCTTGTGATTTTCGATATACTCTGTCCTGGAAGAGTCTCTTTCTCATAAGAGATTTCATTTTCGTAAATAATGTGATCGCCTTCAAACTGTGCATATGGGAAGCTCATTAAAAATTGAATCTTCTTAGGAGCTAGGGCAGGGGAACAAAAGAGAAAATGCAGGAGAGACAGAGACTTCCAGCAGAGGTATCTGCTTCGGCCATGGGCTTACCCTTACTGAAGTGCCACAGGTAGTGACATGGAACTTGAAGAAGGCGTGCCCTTCATTATACTCTCTAGGCTTGCAAGAGCTATCCCTTAGTTTGGTTTTACTCATATCAATGGCAGGAACTGTCTTCATTTGGGCAGATATCATTATAGTACCGTCTGAGTGGCATACTAAGAAAATCAGAGACTTGGTTATAAACTCAAGGAAAGAATCACGGATCTTTTTACTGATCGATCACTTGTGTAACTTACTTATAAATGCTGAAGAATTAAAATTGCAGCTAACGGAGAACATCTGTAAGGTCTCCATAGTTCTCACTTTCCTTAGGACAACATCAAACCTTGCTTTAATTTTCTGAAAGGACACTTCCTGTGAAGGAGGTGATGGAAGAGGTTTCCCATTAAGTCATGTGATCCATATGTACAAAGTTCCGCTCTTTAGCTTGTGCTGCTTGGATACTAACAAGTCACAAGAGTTAAGTCAGTGCGAAGACTAGAGCCTGATGCAACATGGGGGCAGAAGTTTTCTAGTAGAAATTAATTGGTCACTGTCACTGATAAATTTTGGCTGATTATTGTAGAATAGTTCAGATGTTTATTACAGCATAATTTTTCCCCTGCCATGTCTTAACATTTCTACAAAATGTTCCTTTAAAAGAGCTTCTTTCATAAAAGCTATATCGAAATATTGTTTCTGGCTCAGTGCAGATGGGACATTTTGCCTCATCTTACTAAAAATACTGAAGAGTTTGTTTTTGAAGACTCGGTGCGTATCTTTTAGAGACAACTTAGCACTGCAGATTACATAATGCATGGCATAGGCAGAAGGGTCCATGTCCGATACCTCTTGTCTTACTTGCACTGACTTAGAGTCCTTCCTTCTGGAGGTTTTCTGATAAGTTTAACACTGCAGCATTACAAACTGTGACTGTGGGACTGTGGCTGTATGACCAAACAGTCCTTCACGCTCAAAAAAAGGCATGGCTATACAGTTCACGTACCTCATAGATAACTCCCATGGCAAACAGAGGTATTTGCAAGATCAGGTGTGTAGAATTGGTAGCTGCAAGATACCCATTGGTAAGCACAACGTGCTGGGTCAGGAGCTTGTTACCAAGATAGAGGTTCCAATACTGGTGCAAGCCATAGGTTGGGATGGCAAGATACAGGCTTTCTTCATCACAGTAACCAACTGCTTCTGGTAGTTCTGCGGGAAGAATATGGGATGAAGCATTAGCAATGAAGCAGGGTTTAAGTGATGATGTTTGGCCCAGGCAGGGATTTCTACCACAGGTTAAGTTTTGCGCTGGCACTGCAGCAGCACTGTTACGTGCACACTGGCATTGTCTGCAGGGCTTTGGCTGTGTGTGGATATAGTAGTTCACCACTGGTGGGACCAGGAATCCTCATGCTTTAGCAGTGGCCTACCAGCTTGCTTCCAGGCCTACTCCCTGTTTCAGTGAGGTAAGCTGAGCTATGTGTGTAAATACATTTTTTTGGTCGGCCTTCTTTGGGTTGAACCCAGAGCTGTTTCAAAGATAAAACAGGACAGTGAGGAGACTCTGTCACCTTCATGGCGTTCAAAATCTAGGAAGTTTGAGAAAATACCAATCAGACCTCCTGACTGTTTCGATAACCTGCTAGGTACAGCTCTTAGTGGATGATTGTCTCCTTAGAGAAATGCTGTCTTTGGAGTTCACAGCAATATATTTGAGTCAGTTGAGTTCTACCCTGGACGCAGAGGCAGAATTGCATTTGAGGACAAACTGAAACTCATAGCACTGTCTGAAAGCTTTGCCAGTAGATGTATGTTCAAGTTATGAGGCATCTTGTTCACTGAGTTTGCAAGCCAACTTCTTTTACACACCAGTTTTTATTGCTCTCAGTGTCTCGAGGGCAGACTGTCTTGCCAGTATGCAGAAGAGCTGCCATCAGAAAAGCAGCAAGTTGGCTATGTTACCAAGAATGAGCTATCAAAGGGTGGGGTTTTCCCAAAAGCTCTCATCCTCAGCCTAAAGCCATTCTCACAGAATTCAATGAAAAGCTGTTCCATGCTGTTGATGCAAACCAGTTAATATCAGGGGAAAGCTTACCGATATCAGCAATCACACACTCCACCTCTGCAGAATGATAATAGAGTGTCATCTCTGGACCCACACTTAGAGTGTAGTTAACGAGGAGGGTATATTTTGTTTCATTTCTATTCACATACTGAAAAAGAGAGAAGTGTAAGGCTGCAGTAGCAACGGCTTCCAGCACAGACAGGAATGTGTATCCTAAGCAGCACTAAATAATAGCTCCAACAATCTCCTCTCCCCTGTGTATAGCTCAGTCTCCAAAAACATCGCTTCAGTTGACCTAAAACTATTCAGAAACCTCGACTGGGTTCAACAGTTCTTTTGGGCAAATATAAATGTGGACAGTATAGTGCCTGTTCAGAAGATGGGGGCAGAACTGCACACAGTGGTGTTTCCTCTGTAGCCCTCTGGTGAAAGAGCTCGTATAGGGCAATCTGGGCCCAAATCCTTATTCTTCTTTACTCAGAGTGTGAGCTGAAGCCAGAAGAGTGAGAATGAGACAATGAGAAAAGACAAAAGTTGTAAGGAGATGCTATGAGAGATCCCTCTCAGTATCCTCATTTACTTTGCTGAAAGTGCCCCCAAAGCAAAACCTATTGTTCCATCTGAAAGAAATACTTCTGAAAATTTTTAGCTTGCTTTGATTCTTAATGCATTTTAACTGTGGTTTGACTTCAGCCTGAAAACTATTGGCTCAAGTTCTAATCTTGTGCATTCACAATGTTGTTCCTTGTGAGAGAAAATAGCATCTCAGCTCTGCGTGATTTGGTCAAAACAGTGGTAGAGGACTTGCAGTTATGCATCCTCCCACTAAAATGAGAGATTGAATTCCCTCTTTGAGTTTATACTTTTTACAAATATTTGGATTAGAAATGGTCTGAAGCTTAACAAAATTACATTTAGAATACCCTGAGCCTTCCTGTACATGCTCGCATGGTGCATGGTCTGTGCCGGCAGCCAAATGGCTCTGCATAAACTGTAGGTTCAGGAATTGTTGGATGTTGGTAATTGGTGTTTGCACGACTGCAATAATTGATTTATTTTTCCAAGGCACTCCTGTTTCAAGGGACAGCATTTACTAGAGAATTGACAAACCTGTTCCTACTGAATGTGTGCTCAGACATCAGCCATGCTAACAGACACTAAAGGAAGTCATATTTCATACCATCTAACGACACTTGATGCTGCATGTCTCCGAGAGACCTAGGGAGAGCAAGGTGCAGACATGCAAGCCTCTAATCTTAATTCAGATGAGCTCAGACTCATTGACACCTTTATGAACAAGAAACAGTTGTTGGTTAATAAAAAACAGACTGTGTTCTGAAAAGGGACTGCCCTACCTCCTCCACTCAGCTGCTGAAGTGACCTGCTGTATCTTACCTCCTTTAGGACATACAGATTATCAAAAGAGACTTCCAGGATAAATCCTTTCGTTCTATTAGAAAAGGGAGTTTCATAAATCTTAAACCCGTGGTGCTGTGCTTCTCTCAGGGTAAATGGCACATTTCCTATTGCGATTGCCACCAGAGAGACGTCGGGAAGAAAGTGTCCAAATGCAACATTAAATAGCCTTTCCTCTGGCAGAGTATCTGTCGTGAGAGAACATCAAATTACTGCTGATGTGGATCAAGTAATGAAGACAGTTGGGGTGGCCTCCTGTTCAAGTTCCAGGAAACTTAGCCAACAGCCATCTTTTTAATGGCTCTGATTAATGAGTGTTTGTATTCTAGTGAGATCTGAAATACTCTAAGTACATGAGAATTGCTTCAAGCTGCAGAAGATTAACAACAAATGCACACAACTTTATAGCAAATGGGTTCAGTAATTTTCTAGAGGTGCACTGTGATGTGCAATGACTTCCCTATAAAGAAATCTAGAATCTAGTTCAGCCACATAAAATAATGGAAAAGCTATCATAATGTACGCCAAGAGGCTCCTTCTTCTTTCTCTATCAGTTATGCAGACAGCTTTGAAAGTGTTTAGTGTCTTAATGCATTGGAAAATATAATTAAAAAATATTACTGCACCACTGATTGGCACAATGATTTCAAGATAACCGATACAGGCAGTTTTGGGGAGATAATGCCATCAATGAATGCTGTCCTAAGACAGTTCTCCCCGTTGTGATAATTGCACAACACAACATCTTTATCCTAGGATCCCAGTGCTCACTGGAAAAATCTGAATGTTAGTGTGAAAGAAATGTTCATGTCCTTATCAGCAACTGATGTTTTTCATTTCATCCCATAGTGACAGGTGATAAATGGTAAAGCCATTAAGGCTAAAGATTTGAGGTTTTTTAATAATACCTTACATCTTGACTTTGGCTAGCAAATTGGAAGTGGGAGTTGAGAACATTCTGGTGAATGTAGGTGTGTGGCAGAGGTCAAATGGAGCAATATGTAACACAGCAAAAGCAAGAGATTGGTAAAAGTCATTGAGAAGAATGACTTACTGTTGATAACAGTTGGTATTTGTGGCATGAAAGGTGTGGTGATGGATTTGATGACAGTGTACTTTGTCATTTGCCAATCTGCATCTGTCCACGTGTGCTCCAAGAACAAGTCAATACTGTAAATGACTCCATATACACCACCAGATATGGAGCTCTAGGAGGTAAAAATTGTGATTAAGTCGTAATTCTCAATAAGTCAATAGAGGAATGACTGAGTACGGTTAAAACTCTTACACTGGAAAGAGAAAATGGTATTCTAGTACAGTCTGGAATGGATTTTACTAGGAGAGCTTGTTTGTTTGTTTGCTTGGCCCATTCATCTGGTCCATATTTGGCTCAGATACTGCTGAGATTCTCAATAAGGAGCTATCAGGGTTGGAGGAGTCAAAGTCAAAGTCACACCAATGTCATCTTCTCAAACATGACTGGTAAAGAGCCTTGTGAGAATATTGTCAGCTCCTTTAGACTGAACGTTTCTTTGGACACACTGTAAATTATAGATTGACATAGATTATACTGTGTCCAAAGCAGGCAGCTGCACCCCAGCTACATGCTGGGAGCCTGTCCCATGCTAACCCATGCTACCTGCATGGAAATTGTCTAGGAAATGGCTCATTGACACAGGTCAAATATGTGTCAGGACCAGTTTCATAGTGTAACAACATAGATAATTGAACTCCAGTGCCCAGGAATCCATTCACTCTTAATTTATTAGTTTACTTTATGGATTATTAAGAAAAGACAGTCTCTTGCTTCTCTCATGTTTTGTAATTAGAGATACTTAGTTTCTGAGTAGGTGCTTTCAAAACACAGAGAAGGAGCACCTAGATCATAGAATCATAGGATGGTTTGGGTTGGAAGGGACCTCAAAGATCATCTAGTTCCAACCCCCCTGCCGTGCGCAGGGACACCCTCCACTACACCAGGTTGCTTAACGCCTCAGCCAACCTGGCCTTGAACACTTCCAGGAATGGGGCATCTACAACTTCTTTGGGCAACCTGTTCCAGTGCCTCACCATCCTCCGAGTGAAAAATTTCTTCCTTATATCTAATCTAAATCTGCCCTCTTTCAATTTAAAGCCATTACCCCTTGTCCTATTACTACACACCCTTGTAAAAAGTCCCTCTCCAGCTTTCCTGTAGGCCCCCTTTAAGTACTGGAAGGCTTCAATGAGATCTTAAAATATTTCTTGTATCTAAGAATTTTATGCAGCAATTAATCATTATTTGGAATGATTTGGAACTATTATGATTCAGAAACATCTTCCATGGTGCCGGTCCTCAAATGTGTTAGCATGTAACAGGTTCATACTAACCTTTAGCTTGCCTCCTTCTGCTCCAATAGGGATAGTTATTCCAATGTGTGTCTTGTTGTGCTCCAGTAAGTAGTTCTCCTCCTCTGGGTTTACTATGACTCGGCCATCGACTCCCATTAAGATGTTTTTAGACAGAAAAGTGGATTCTTGAACCACTAATGTGGGGATAACACTCGGCACAGTCCATGTTAGTGTAGTATCAGTGAAACTGATGCCATCTGTTGAATTAGATAGACAGCCCCAAAAGGCCGGGCAGTTGGACTTACCAGTGAGTCTTCACTATGCAATGGCTGTCTTTCCCTCACTTCTTTTCACCAGGGTACCTCTACAGCTTTCACTAATGAAACACCTTGTAGGATGATATTAGCCAACTGATGGCTATTTTGTCACAGAAACGCTGGTGCTCAAAGTAGACTTGAATCACCAGTATCCAATGAGTAATTAATTTATTCAGAAGAACTGACAGTCATGCTCCCAGTTTCCTTCTCTGTTGTCCTTCTGGTCCCAGGAGTTTTGCCTTACTGGCAAAAAGAATGGGGCACACCCATCTGTTTGGGCCTTCTCCTTGAAATATTGGCTTCAAGATCATGACAACTTAAAACATCCTGCTTCCCCATCAATTGTTCAAAGTAGTACTGTTCTGTGCGAGACAGAAGGTGCAGCCACCACTGTCCTGCAAAGCCAGAAAAAGCCAGGCTAGTTCTGTCTCTCCAGAGAAAAGGACTAGGTGAGTCCCAATGACACAGAGCTGCATCCCCTGTGTGGAGTTACATGACAGTGGAGGGGGGCTGTGGAGTTAGTCATGGGGAGGCTTCCCGGCCCTTCTGGTCCAGTTTTACTTGTCTATAGCTCCCTGCATCTAGCGTGGGGGTTTGAGAAACCGGAGACAAGACAACACAACACTGCACTGGGAACACAAGTAATGTAGCATCACAGCAGGGAACATGTTTGTCTGGGACTAAAGCCACGGACTCTTAGCTTGTGTTGCTCTGAGGGCAACTTGTAAACCTCTTGTCTTACAGAGTAGGTCACAGGGAAACGGGAAGACTAGGTTCTCTTCTAGCTCCTTAGGCAGTTATTTTTGGTGAACAATGAAGAAGCCCTTACCAACAGGACAGGAGACAGTTGTGTCAATCAGCAAGAGCAGCCACCGCTGCCTGTACATGGAAGTGGAAGTCACCATGTTCATATTTACACCACTGACCTGTTGGGATGCAGGCAAAGAAAGAGAACTGATGTCCTAGGGAGGCAGTGGAAACAGCACAGTTTTGCATCTGACTGAGAGCAGCAACTCACCACACTGATGTCGGACTCGTTGCTGTGATAGGGCGCACGGAGGTACACTCGGGACAGCGTATTATTGAAGCTGTAGCCCAGCTTTGCTGCATCGCTTACCGTTATTCTCTTTCTCCCTGATGGAGAAACAAACATCAGTTGCCATAGCTGGTATGCAACATTTTGAGTCTGCAAGAGAGAGATGAGCTGCATGAGATCTAAGTCTACCAAAGTCTCTTAAAAAACTATGATATTGTAGCATCTATTTTCCTATTAGAAGCTGGAGTAACTGGAGTGGCACTGGACACTACAGTCCACTCCAAGCAAGAAACACCCTTGACATATATCAAGGTAAGGAATTCTATAGCTCTTTAAGGCATCTTTAGAGATAGTGTTATAGCAGCCCTGGAAGAAACTTAGACTGGTGGCCTTGAATAAATCCCCTTGGACAAAATGCCTGTGCTATTAATAAAATGATTGCTTTCGTGTCTGTCGATGGCTGGAGCAGTCCAGAGGCCAAATGCCAGACTACCTTTTATAGTACATAGCCATACTGTGTCAAAGATAAGAAGAGAGGAATGTCTATACGGGTCTAGAACAGAGTCTCCTGAACTGATAACTATTTAGAGGGACAGTCAAAAGGAAAAATTGGCATAATGAGCAAATAAGACATGAGAAAAATAGGACGAGCGTATGTATTTCCCCCTAATACTTTCCAGCCTCAAATAATTTTCAGCTCAGAGACTTCTGAGCTATCTGTAGCTTCTTTGTATTTCATATGTCTTATTGGATTTCTCTTCGGTCAATTTTTCCAGACTCTCCTTGAGATCAAGCAAGCTTTTAGCAGCCACAACATCTTTTGGCAAGGAGTTTGACAGATTCACTACCAATTGTGTGAAGAACCACGTACCTTTGTTTGTCTTGAACTCAGTTTCTACTAATGTAACAAGCATATGGCTCTGTTCTCCCACCTAAATGTCTTTTTGCAGCCTAGAGCTCTAAGAAAACTTGAGAGGTTTTTCAATACTTGATGGCATCTTTGCCATATCCCTGTTTTGACAGAGATGGAGCTATGCCCCAAGAGTGCGTCATGAGATTAGTGAGAAGAGGCAGGCGAGGAGCTGCTAGGAAAGACTCCCCTTCATACCTCTGGCAGTGCAGACAGCCATGCTACGGTGTAGTCATTTGAAACTGCAGGGACATTGGTCTTCACTGACACCTGGGGACACAGAGGAGATTCTTTGAGAACAATCAAATCTTCACAATTGTTATAGGCATGGGGAGTAAAGAGAGGGCTTTCAGATTTCCTCTCCAGTGTCTGTTGCGATTTAGCAGTTGACATTCACTGGAGGTAACTAAAGTGTTTCCAAAGAGGTTCTTGATAGTGGTAATTTCTGTGGCCTTAAAATCAATATTAAAGCCATGACATTTATGGTGGTGTGTGTACAGCAGAAGGAATACTTTGTGTATAACCAGGTAAATCAAAAGTCCTGTTTCATATCTGGTAAGCTGTAAACGAGATCCCACTCTGGACACTTCCAGGGGCACCTGGGTGTCTCCACTGGAGGTATAGGGAAGCAGGCTGTTGGCTTTAACAGGACTGCTTCTCTCTTCGCAGGCAGGCTGAAGACCTGAAAATGCAGGATCCTCAAGACGTAAGGTAGATGCTATGATGTATATCTTGCCAGCATGTGCTGCAGAGTGAGGTGAGTTCTGGACATTGAGTTGGAAGTCAATGTTTGCCCCAGACATCTGTACCACAGTTTAAATGTGTTGCAACACTCAGACTTGACTGCACAGCTCAAGTCCTAGCAGGAGAAATAGGCTTTCTTCATCCTGCCTATAGTAGGTGTGTACAAAAAGCAGTGAAATTTGTTTTGTTCAGTGCCTTCTTTCTACATTGGTGTGCAGATGCTGGTAGCAGGCTGGACAGCCAAATCGTACCACCCAGTGGGTCCTGTCTCATAATGATATCTTGTGAGTTGTGTGGCATAGCAGGGTTGCAGCTCTGCAAGCTCCAGGTTTTATTATTTCAAATACAAGGATGACATCCTCACAGATGCTGCAGCATTTTATAGCATAAAGGTATTCTCGTGAGCTAAACAGGTTGGCCTGCCTGGCTGCTGATGTGCTTGCAGTAGCTTGACTTACATCATAGAATCGTAGAACAGTTTGAGTTGGAAGGAACCTTAAAAACCACTTAGTTCCAACCCTCCTGCCATGGGCAGGGACACCTTCCCCTAGATCACGTTGCTCAAAGCCTCATCAAACCTGACATCTGTACCGTTAACTGAATTTCACTGCATGTAAAATACCTATGACATGCAAACGTGTTACTAATAAGCACCTACAGTTACACCCCCTGCTGAATTTCAGCAGGTCACTATCAAGCCTGGTACATAGTGTAAAATCAACTTCTGACTGGAACATGTGGAGGTTGTTGTGCCTGGCAGGGAGCTTGGATGTAGGAAAGTGGGAAAGCTTTTACCTCCATGTAGTTTTCTTCACACACAATTTCTCTTGAAGCCCAGGCAGAGTAGGAGCAGTACATAGGGTAGGTGTAGGTCACAGCTGCCCTCATGCTTGAAAATGAGGAGACCTTGATGTTCACAGTCAGTGAAAACAGCTCATCTGCCTGGGAAGAAGAACAGACAATTCAGCAGATAGTGTGGAAGGTCCCAGAAGGGACTGTGTGGGACTGTCCAGCCCAGTGTCCTGTTTCTGAGAACATTTTATTACGATGAGTCTGTAGTGACAGTTCCTCCAGCATACCACCCTGTCTTAACTGGTTTGTGTGCTTGGGCTTTCTGAGGCAGAGACATTGCCTCGGTACTCACAGCCTTCGCCTCAGGTCACCGCTCAGCACTGTTCTTGCCACAGTATTAAGGAGCAGCTAGTCAGGGGAAAATCTGACCTACCTCTCCATGTGGTTCGCATTCCTTCCGTTCATGATTGCTATGGGCCTCCCCATGAAGCGAAAGTACTAGAGCTTTCAGTATGGTGTAGGTAGTTCGGATCTGTCTTACAAGTGCTATTTAGTGTCTATCTTGACTAGCTTTGCTAAGAGCTCCTCTTGGTCCTTCAGTTCTCCAGGAGCCACGCATGAAGCCATGGACTGTGCTTCAATCTGACGTGGATGTGTATTTTTCTACAGAAAAAGGCAAAACCTTTCCAGAGAAATTTTCAGTCTGGAAATCCTGGTCATTGCACAGCACACTGTACACCCTCCGTTCTTGTTAGCATAACCTCTGCCCATAAAGTTTTACCTTATTTTTTCTGTGGGGCTTCCAGGACCAACCAGACTAAACACGGACAAGCAATGAAGTTTCTACTCTGATACGTTCTGTTTCTAGGTACATTTCATCTCAACTAACATTTAGAAATTAGAAATCCAGGCTACACTTTTACACATATTTTAGGAAGGGGTGAATCACCTTCCGGAGATGCCTGTTTCTCTCCATTGACTATTGTGGAAGCGTAAACAACTAGTTTAGACTAGACATTATCTTTTAGATGGCTAAAGTTACGTGAGACAAATCTGGGTCTAACAGATGTGTGTGATCTAGGTTCCTAGGCATGTGTTAACAGGCACATTACCACACAAATTAAGCCAGGAAACGGTCTGCCAGAATCACACTGCAAATGTTGCTTTTTCGAGTAGATGCCTACTTCTTTCCAGAGAGGATTTCAAGAAAATCTCTGGCAAATCAGCAGCTACAAGGATATGCTTGAGAACTGGCAGCCAGTCAGCAGCATTAGGCCAAGTGTCATTTCATGGAAAGAGGAAATCCCGTGTCAGTCACAGTGAACAAACTTCGTACTGGAGAGCCATTGCCTATTCATTTCTACACACCACCACCACTAACTCCTTGAGTTCACTGTTTCTTGAGTTCTCAAAACATGCCATTGGAATGCCATGTAATATCCAAATCTTGTCTTTTTGGAGAGGACGTACTGTCTGAGCTGTTTTCAAGCCCGTCTCTGGGTCTTACCTCGTTGGCCACATGACAGCCAAGCACTGATGCGCGGAAGACGGGATTGCCCCACACGTCTTCTGAGAGGACATAGCCACAGCGAGACGCTAGTTTCTCATCCAGTAGAATGGGGCCAACATAAGGATCTACAGAAAAAGGGAATCATGTGTGGGTGGAAAGCTCAGGGCAAGTCATGGGGCAGAGTGGAGCTGAGAAAAGAGGTCCTCTGAAAAGAGATCCAGCTGGGTTGAGTGCTCTCCAGCAATGTCTGCTGTTAAGAAGCTGGCGAAGCTGTGCTGGTATGTGTTAGAGTGCATGAGACAGTCTGGCATGTCTCAAGCTCACCCACATTCTGCTCACTTTAATGCCCCTTTCTCTGTGTCCAGAAGGTTGTGCCACAGCCACCCTGAAGAACTCTTATGGAGAGTTTCTCTGAGGCATCACATATATTTCTCCCTCCTTGATTTTACTCTCTAGAAAATAGTTATGGGCTACTAAGCCCATCCATTTCTAAAAATCCTCGGGTTGTGTTAATTTGCTGCTAACTCTGGTCAAAGGATGCACTCACAGACCTATTTTGGATGGGCGCTTCTACAAATTGGTCAGGTTTGCTGCTCGTCTCTGCTTGGCAAGACACTGTGTGCTGTTAAAGCTATGGTGGAGTCAAGTAACAGAGACGATGAGGGCTGGCTGCGCTCCGCTCTTGATGCTGATAGAGTTAATAACATCATATTTTGTTAATTATCTGCCCTCTGATTAAGGAACTATTTTAGTTTTGGGTTAGACACAAGAATCTGTACAAGTAGATAGGGTTTAACTAGCTGCCATTGGAATTTCTAGATTTGTCTGTCATCTTTATATGTCGAACAGTACTAATAACTGCTGTTTCAGTAGATGGATTCTTACAGCTAGGATAGAGTAAGGAGATAAGTGAGAAGAATTTTGGAAGAAAAGGGAGTAGCTTTTATGAGACCAACTGATAGAGCTGGAAGAAACAAACAACCTTTTTGTGCCTGAAGGCTGGTCTGTTTTTTCCAGCAGTATCAGTTGCTCTCATAAATGCTATCACTTCTTCCCACACCCTTGCTCTGCTTGACTTTTTCAGTTCTGCCTCCAAATCAACTGCAAAAAAACAAAACTCAGAAAAAAGTGGACTGATCTCAATAGAAAGAAATCTGGTTTGGGGTGAAATCATATACTTTTTTCAATCTGATGTGAACATTTTCTGGTTTTCATTTTGGTTAAGTGGATTTTTGTTTTCCTTAGCAAAATGGAAAGCCTTTGTTCAAACTGAAATAGGCTATCTAACTGCTATTGTGATGTTAAATAAAAAGGAAATTAAAAAAAAAAAATCCTTTAATTACTGCAGCACTCACTCAACGCTCGTTGAGAGCGTGTTTTCTGGGTATTACCCAGCCTACACTGCTGCTGTCATTTGTGCTGCCCAGAACATATCCAAGCTGCAATGTCGCCTTTGTTTTCCTTGCTAGACACATGTAAGGACTCAGCAGAGGAAAGAATGAAAGTGAAGTCAGTCCTTCCTCCTCAGGCCATCTTTTCTCCTTTCCCTAGGATGTTAGGGGGAAGGGGCAAAGGGGACTGTGGCTGTAGATACAAGCTTTACTCATCTGTAGGGATAGTGGCCAAACTGAGGTGCAGAAGCCAGGTCTAGGTGGCAAGGATGTTCTGCAAGTTCTCTGGGGTCAGTTACCAATTATCAAGTAGATGGCAGCAGCATCCAGATCACAGGCACTGGGATCACTTAGGTGATTCCCCAGTCTTCACGGTACTCAGGGCAGCCACTTGTGACTCACCATTGATTTCGAGCTGGAAGAACTTTCCCTGGAGCAAGAGTTTATTCAGTTTCATCCAAAAAATCCTGGAGCGGCAACTGCTCTCTACAAAACCTGGTGGGAACACATACAGAGCAGATGAGCCAGTGGGACTGGAGGGCAGAGAAGAGGCACATCTTGTTACAAGCAAAATAACCAAGTTCTCATCCTTGCCTCTCCTCGCTATCCTTTTATCATGTTTCACCAACCTGGAGGAGCCATCTGCCTCCCTTGTCCCAGCCAGAACAGCAAGAAAAGCAGCCAGATCCTGCAGTGTAAGTACATGAACAAATGATGGGATGAACAGAGAAAAAAAAGATCAAGATAGAAAATGAATGGGGCAGCAACTGAAGTCTCATTACCTGCGTAGCGAGTAACCCACAACCTCCATCTGTCCCTGGAGACCTGTGCATGGGCAGCAAAGTCCTCCTTTCTTTGAAATAAAGCTGACCCAGCTGTGGAGAGAGAACTTGGTCAGACGCAGGAGGAAAGGTGTAGCTGACCTTTCACAACAGAGATTGTGCTACCTTCTCCAAACCCGGTGTGTGACTCAGGAGAGACTGGTGGCTTCTGTCTTGGAGAGACGCCTGGGCTGAATCCTGCAGTGTCCTCCAACGTTATCTGAGCTCCTGGCAGTGGGAGGCAGCTTCCCTCACTAGGAGGGCAGAGCACCGTTCTGCCAGGTATTCACAAGGTTGAGTGCTGCTGCTGAGCCTAATTTTAATGAGTGCAGCAGAGGGTGCTCCGTGCTTTCCATCAGCCCCTGGGTGGTAATCTCGTTCCTAACAAGCCAGTTGGGTAGCTTTGGCTTCAGGTCTTAAGAGCACACAAAACATTTCCTTGGAGGTATTTTAGTTGGGTCTGCACAGGAAATACATTTTTGTTTCTGTGAAATGTCCTAGTGACCCAGCCATGCCAGAGATAACAGCGGTTCTTTGGCAGCTACATGTTTTGCTTTTGTGGATCCAGTTAGGTTGCCCTTTGATTTGTTTGATTATCGGAGAGCGTTTTGGTGAAAACATCTACATCTTGTTTTCAGAAGTGCTCCGATATCTCTGGATCAGTCAGACCATGTGCAGGTCTGTAAATGGCCACACATATTGTTGGGGAAGAGAAAGTCATTGTGCCTGGTGGGAGCTGTGGTTCTGGAACTGCAAGTTCTCTGGGAAGCGGAGAGGCTGGAGAGGTTTGGCGAGATAAAAATACAGCTTGTGTGCCATGAATGAGCTACGGTGGGCTAAGAAGTACAGGACATTTAGGTTGACATTTTAGCCATTGAAAAACAGGGCTCAATCTCCTTTTTGTCCCCATTTGGAGCATTACCCAACCGTTCTCATCTTACTTTCGTTCATATCCATGAGCAGAGCTGTGCTGTAGAAATTAGGTTGTTTTTGCAGTATGCTTCACATCGCTTTGGGATAAACAAAAGCCAGCGGGCGTATCCACTCTCAGAACACCGTGCAATCAGTGTAATTTCCTCCTCTGTCCCCCTGTCTCAGAGAACCTCTGCAGTAACAGCAGGACCTACCCCACCGCCTTGCCAGACACGCTCACTTTGTAGAACAGGGAGCCGGTGGCACGCTTGTGTGAGTGCTCTGGAGCAGAGCCCCAGGGCTTTAGCAATCTCCTAATTAATGTCCTTTGGACAGGAGACCCTTTCTCATTCAGCGGCAGCCGAAGTCCAACTTCTGCAACAAACTTCTCATGAGCCCACGCAGGACTCGCTGCATGATCCTGGCCTGAGTTAGCTCTGCGTCCTCGGACTCAGAGTGACTCTTCATTGAATCCAGCTGGGGCTGGAATTCAGCTGGAAATGGCGGTACTCAGATACCACAGTGATGAGTGTGGTGTAACAATGAGATTTTGAATTTTGAGTGAAAACTTCAGTATATTTGGATAGCAAACAGTTCCAATTTTGATAAGCCACTTCCAAGAGCCATGTAGCATCTCTCCGAGATACGGAGAGTCAAGGTCTGAGGGAACCGTGTTTGAGAGAGCGTGATTGCAATTTATTAATGAACAGCCAACCGTCAGGACAGGTACACGGCTGCAATTAGCTGCCTTCTTTGCACAAGCAGGGGGTAGATGAATTTCTGGATCTTTGGACAACACAGAGTATCGCAATTGCTCTGTTTCTGGCATTAATCATGGTTATAAATGTGGCAGAAACGACTTTGGATGTGACACAGAGATTGCGGTCAGCGTGCGATAGCCAGCTCTTGGCCTCACTGTCCACCAAGCAAAGCAAAGCAAGTCCAGGTCAAATGTTTTTGGCTTCCAAGGATCGCTTAAGTGCTGTGGAAAGCATTGTTAGCATTGGGCGGCTGGAAACATCAGCTGCTTGTGGTCCCTAAAGTCCCTCTGGTACTCGTTATGAAGGTAGGGAGGATACACTTGTGCATTCCAGGTTATTATATTTGTCTACTGAGTTTTCCTTGATGTTTTGGCTGCGGAAGAGGACCCATCTTAATGTTCTTGTAGGGTAATAAAGAGCTGCTGTGTTTTGACGTTAAGGTGATGGCATTCTGTGGTGGATAAGATGATTCATGGCTTGGGTTCTTTCGAGCTGAGAGGTACCGTATGAATGTAATGTTTTGGTTTCTCTTTTTTTCCTGCATGGGTCTGGAACTGGGTTTTGTATTATATAATGTGATTGAAAGTTTAAAACCAGCCACTTGGAGCCGCACACGTATAGCACCTCTCCCATCAAGACTTGCTTTTAGTGGTGGAAAAAGGCTCCAGCTCTTTTGAGTCATGATGTTTGTCTTTCTGTTGTTCTGTGGTACTGAAATCCCCAGGTTATACAGTTGCTACAGAAAAAGACTTTCTCATTTTTCTGTCCCGAGTCTTTTAATTATAACTTTATTTTTCCAACTGGTTAAAATGCAAGGAAGTGTTGTGGGTTTTTTTCACTAGGTTCCATGTGATGATCTTAACTAAGCCTCATAGTTTGATACTTAGTCCGAGTGTGGGATAGAGTCAAATGGCACCTGTTATTAGACAAAAAAATAACTAGTGAACAATGGGAAAGGATATGAGGTGAAGTCTGGTTTTAATGTACCAAAAGCAGAATCTTTGCCTACATAGAGTTGGGAGAAGCCAAGATAAGGAATCTCTGCCCTCCTTGTCCTCTTGCAGCTGCAGGACTGGCAAATCTGAAATAGAAATAAAATATTAGTATGTTAGTATTTCTAAACCTAGAAATAGCTGCCCTAGAAGCTGACCTAAGATGTGACAACCAACTAGAGAGAGCCACTAGGAAATCTTCAGGAAGGAAATGCTAGAGGACATGCTTCTCCATGAGAAAAGCTGTGCCTTGGAGTAAGCTGAGAATTAGATATCCAGGTTGTGGGTCCAGTGGGTGAGAAAATGGGAATGATGCTAAGATTTATCTCTGAAAAATGTTGTGGGTTTTTTTTTTCAGGGTGTGTGTCTGTGACCTCCACCTGCAGGGTAGCACTCCTGGTCTGGAAAGGGCTTGATCACCTTGACATGAACACATGACTGAGCTCTGCTCCAACCTGCAAGTGGCAGAAGCTCGTAAATACATTCAAAGGGCTTTTATGTCCCAAGGGAAAAATTGCATATAAGGATAGTTCTGGTTTAACTTCATACCATACCACACCACAAAACAACTGCTCTGATCCAATTAAAATGCTTTGTCCGTTTTCGTACACACACATTGTGTTTCAGACGGGTGAGACCTTCCTGTTGTGTGCAGAGCGTGCAGAGGAAAATATACCCTGTAAAGAACAACTATAGAATAATCATCTCAAAGAGGGAATTTCTTTCTATCTCCATGAGCTAGTAGTTGGCTTGTGCTGTGAAATATGAGGGTTTACATTCCTCATTTGTTATTATAGAACTATTATTATTATTGTCTGTATAATGTGTGTTTAGAAAGTGTCCTCGTGTTTATGCCATTTTTATCTTTAAAATATGCCGCACTCAAATTCATATGAATTCCAAAAAGCAACACTTGCTATCGTTGCATGCCACTAAATCATTAAAGTGGTGGAAAAAGCACAAATAAGCAGACCTGTATAATGATGGGCTTTTAATTTTTTTTTAACGTGCTATTGGTGTTAGTTTCTGTGTGCCTGTAATGTTTGTGTTCACTGTAACTGAACAATAGAACTTTGTTTTTGTTCTTTGTGTAAATTAAAAACATCTGTTCTCTTTATACGAAAAGTTGTTTTTTAAAAGAAGCTGGTCTGATCTAACTAAATACCAATGCTGTGTCCACAATGAGTTACTATTAATATTTGGGAAAGGCAACCATCCAAAGCAAGTGTAATGTCAAATCACTGGCGGGAGTGCATATTTATTGCTTGAAGTGACAGATAAAAATGCAGAGGTTACAAAAACAAAATTCTTGCGGATGACTAATGATGCGTATATATGCCCCCAATGCCCCATCACCACATTTACAATTGGCAGGGTGTTCTCCACCGCCTCCTGCTCCCCAGGATTAATCGACAAGAGACTGGTAGCTTGGCACCCTCCCTGGAGGAGCGACGCTGCTCCCACCTTCCCTCTGGCAGACCCTGCCTGGAGTGACCTTCAGGGCCTACTGGAATCTGATCCATCTATTTGATTCATCTGACTTTTCCCCCACCTCACTCTGGTATTTGACTACATGGGTTTATTTTCTGCCAAAGGCACGTGACTTTTTTTCTCCACGCAGGTGGAGGAGGTGGAGAACCCGCTCTGTGTTCCTGTAGTGCCTATGACACTGGCGTGATGGTGGTCTTCAGAGGTGTCCGTGAAGTCCTGGTATGAAGGAGCTGGCAGCCCAAGATGGGAGTCTGTTGTCTTTCTCATGAGGAGCAGTCCTGCGTTCAGCAGCAGTCTTGCTGAAGTAGCTGGAGGCTGCTATTTCAGAGAAATAAATGCACTATTTGTCATGAGCACCAGTGGTAGAACGGGGGTCTGAGAGGTTCAGCACTACCCCTGCCCACGTGGCCTTGTAGCCTTGTCACTAGTGCACTTGAGCACCTGAGATGGTGAAATTGTCCTCACAGGCAGGCATCTTGGGAAGGAAATACATCTGATTAACATTTGTTGATGAAGGGTCTAATTCAAGAAAGCATCTCTATTGAGTGCAGCAATTAAACCTTTGCTTAAATCTCATTTATTTCAGTAAGATTTGAACACAAGTAAACCCTTTCCAGACCCTGGGCATGCAAAGCCCAGACCTGCTTCTCCCCTTCCTGTTACCTCCAGTGTCCTGTGCCTTTCACTGGCAAGAACCAAGAAAAAATTCTTGACTATGTTAAAGAATTACATATTTTGTTGATATGCTTATTGCAGTCATTGCTACAACAAATACTGACCTATTATCAGCGTAAGTTCCCTCCTTCCTTTTAAGATGCCCCATCCTAATGTGTCCTTCCCCTCTCCCGTTCTCCTACAGAGGAGCCCTGTGCTCTTTGCTTTCCCACACCCTTTTCCCTGACTACCCCTAATACCCGTATTACTCATCTCGGTCTCTTTCCTCAACATCTCTGCTCTCTC